GTCCCCGCCGCCGCCAGGGGGCAGCCCGGTCCCCGCCGCAGCCCGCCGGGCGGAGCAAAGCCCCGGTCCGCTCCCGGTCCCGGTCCCGATCCCGGTCCGGCCACCCCCGCTCACCTCCCGCCGGTGGGGAGAGGATCCCCTCCACCCGCAGATCCAGGGAATCCAGGGACACCTCCATGTACTCCATGCTGTTCTCCTGGCCGGGGCCCCCTCTGCCTCCCAACGATGGTTTATAGGCTTCGGCACCTACATGGAAACACACGCGGATTGACACAGCTAAAAATAATAAAAATAATAATAAAATAAATAAATCACGGACAAGCACGTGAGGGTGTAAGGGCCATATTTAAGCGAGCAGGCTGTACGCAGGCTCCTCAGAGAGGCCATGAGTACAGATGCACATAGAATTATGAAAAGGCAACATCTGGGCATATATGGCACGATTGATCTATTTCCTTCCCTGGCTGATCAGACAGATTTTCCACTTCCATTTAGGTAGGTAACAACTGAAAAAAAAGAGTACAAGAGACAAGTAAGTTCTGCCTCTGAAAGGCACATCTGCCTGCTGCCGTACTGCATCAGCAGCAGAAGCGTAGATGGCACAAGGAAGGGACGAAACCAGGGCTCAGCCCATCCTCCTGTCTCCAACCTGCTGCAAAGGGCTCCGGGTACACTCCGCCCAGGCAGAGCGAGCCGGCTAACCATGGATGGCAGGAAAAGGATGAGATAGGCGACATTCCGCTTAATGGGAAGGGAAAAACATAAAAGCCAAGTTCTGGCTCTAAGTGAATAAAGCTGCTGCTGGGAAGAGATTGCATGGGGGATCCCTCGCTGGGAAGATTGCGTAGGGACCCCTCGGTGGGAATTGTCAATCTCTTCATGCTCCCTTGGCTTCGCTTTCTCTCCTGGTTTGCTTCTCCCACTTGGGCTTGGCCAAGAGACTTGTGTTAGCCTGAAGGACCGGCTGCCACCTTTATTGAAGGGGTGGGAAAGCAGTTTGCATCTGAAATTAGGAATTAGCTATTTGCTCTGAAAGGGTTCAATGGTCCCCACGATTTCTTGAGAAAGGGGCTGCTTTGGGAGGAAGAGGAGCAAGCCAGATCACTGACAAACGCCAGGCACAGACCAAAGGCTGAAACATGCTCATTTAGCTGAGAAGCAGCCACAAATCGGCTGATCAAAAAATGGCCTTGTTTGCACAGAATTAGCAGACACAGAAGAATAAACCCTTTGATGGGAATGGATGTATGAAACCTTAATAACGAAGCTGAGGGCACAGCATCACTTCAGAGACTATCTTCTTTTTTTTTTTTACCCATGTTGTTACCCTTCCTGAAGAAGTATCACATCCAGCCTGCACTCCCGGCTCTGCCCACCCCACAGCTTTCAGAAGACAAAGGCCACTGAAACCTTTTTTTGAGTGCTGGGTAACTTAGGTCAAACAAGAACGTGCACCTGAACAACATCCACACCATGAGGTAGGCCAGAGGTAGCTCATTACAAATGTTGTGGTGCTTTCAGAGTAAGCAAAGACACCCTGCACATTCCACTCAGCTGGACAGACATCTGTACAAAAGCAACTGAGCATCACTTTGGGTTGGTTTTCCTTTCCCTTCTGCATCTAACCATACTCCCTGAGCTCACGGGACATGAGTCCACGTCAACATGAGTCTATGAGGTCTTTTGGGGATACTTTAAAATAAAGGGAGTTCATGAACAAAAACCTGTTCCTCCAGCATGCCAAGTATTTCTCCCACTGTTAGTGTGCACACCAGCAGTCACTGCCGGTGAGATGCACATTCACACCCTGGTTTATCACACTGCCCATCCCCGTGAAGGAAGACCGAGCTCTGCAGACAGCTACTGCCTTATGGACCTCAGGACCTCACCCCTCCACCTGGAAGGCTAATTTCTGTGTAGTTAAGGAACAAAACACAATTAGTTACCTAACACACTGGCTTGTTTCTTTTTATTCCTCCGTCTCCTCTTGCGGGTGGGTTTCAGCCATGGACTGTCCGTCTTTCCTTTCCTCTTCAGCAGCTTCTTCTTGATGCTGGACTCCGAGCTCTGAATAACCAGAGAGGCCACGTGCATGTAAGGCATGTTGGTATCAGCGTCCCAGCAGTCCTTTGCGCCCATGCGAGAGAGCCTTCTCACAGCTCGAGTTGTGCGAAAAGGCCTTAAGGACTGGGGGTTTGAAACCAAGTGGTGCTAAGATGTCTTTACAGCACGGAAAAGGAAACACAAGCACACGTGTGGGTGTATTTCCTGTCATTTCAATAGTGCATGCTTCACTTTCTCTTCCATGTAGGCATTTACACCACACTCATCGCAGTAGTAGCTGAGCACCTTGCACAGCAATGCAAGTATGCAGGCACACGCACGTTTTTAGCTTCTCCCCAGAAAAAACATGGTTTTTTTCAAAGTGAAATATTCGCACGGCTCCACAGTCGTGCTAAAAAAAGCCAACAAAAACCTGCCTTGCACCTAAAGAGCCACCTTACAGGGCTGGGACGGACCCAGGGGAATTGAACTCTACAGCAGCAGATCAGCCCCCCCCCGACCAAGGTACAGGCTATCACGTCAGCACGGGCTACTCATGCAGCACACAGTCAGACACGCATATGAATCTAAAAATGGCTTGTGTTTTGGTTTAAAAAATACAGTTGTCTGGGGTGCGTTCTCAAAGTCAACATTGGAACAGGGAATTGGGCACCCCGTCCCTGTAAGGCAGTCCCTCAACACATCAATCGTAAAATTCACATTTGAACTGAAACTGCCAGCTCCCGCTGCTTATCCATCTCCTGATGCTTATCCATCTCCCACCAAAGCCTACGAAAAACCTCCTGCTACTGTTAACAGCGGCTGGGTCAGGCCCTACCTTCATGGCCTACCTTGGGAGGCAGCCGACGCTGCACCATGCCCTGTTACCACAGTCAGCGAAGCCAGGCAACGGTGGTGCTGAGCCTTGGCTCTCCGGGGCAGCTCTACGGCGTGTCTACGCTGCCCCTGATAACCGTCCCCGAGCGTGGGCTCAGTTGTGCCCCGCCACGTGGCTCACACCAATGACATCACGCTGCTTGTGGGGGAGAGGTTTGCGTTTGAGCCAGTCCCCGTCCGGGGAACAGGCTGACTCACCAGACACAAGCAGAGCAAAAACCACCGTCTAGGACATGGAGATATGACTTGGGAGTTTGGACTTGACTGCAAGCTCAACCCTTGGTTTGAGCTAATGCTACAGACTGGCCTCAGCTACCCAAAGCCAGAGGGAGGCTACACAGCCCCTGCTGCTTGGTCCTCTCTGGCTCCTGTTGTGTCAGAGCAGAAGGAACAAAATCCTAAAGAGCTTCAATGATTCACTTGGTATAGTCATTTCTACCTTCAGCTCAAAACATCAAGAAAATGAAGCCAAGAATTTTCTCAAGGTGACCGAAGAGTTGGGGTGCCTTAAATGCTGGCTCCTCAACTTGAGGTGCTGTGGAAGGGGAGCAAAATTCTAAAGTAAACTGCAGGGTGGGGGACAGAGACAATCAATGAACAACAATTTAAATAAAAATCAGGTTCTCTTCGCCAGCCATCTAGAACTCACCAACAACTGGTGAAAGTCTTGCCCTAGCGCTATACAGACAACCTCCTAGGGAGTGTGTCTGCCTGTCTGTCTATGTGCTTTGTACGTCTCCCTAACAAGAGCTGCCGGCTCATCTGGTACTGTGAGGTGGCACGTCAAATCAATGGGAATTTAGGCTGTGGGCTGCACTAAAGGATTTGTGAACAACTCCACCTGGGCTCCAAAAAGGCATGCTGAGCTTCAGGTTGTCAAGAAAACATTGCTGGCTCCTACCACTCACCAAGGCCGCACCTGAAGAATTTAATCACTCTTAAATATTTCTACTACCATTCAAATGATTAAAAGCAGTCAACACCTTGTTGAAAACAACAAACAAAAGCCCATTAATTAGCATCAGAAAGCAATTAATTGTATCACAGATCAAGGTTAAGCACCTTGTGGAAAACAATACTCTGTGTGTGGGTGGTTTCACAGAGTGAGTTTTGTCAAAGAGACCTGAAACTACAGCGCTCTTGCTCTCTCTCTTTCTGGCAGCAGTGGAAAGGGGAAATTATTATCAACAGGACAAAGGCTCAAAGACGCATTTAGCAGCCAGGCTTACCAAGTCAGACTCATCTCCATCTTCCTCCTCCTCCCCAGACTCTCCAGACTCCTGTTCCTCCTCAGACTCGACATCATCAATCTGCAGCCACCATTTGCCCAAGCACAGAAAGAGTCAGTCAGGTCGGGTCTCTTAAAGCAGGGCATCCCCCCCGTCATCCTGCTGTCCCCCGCATCCAGCAGAGCATCCCCCCATCATCCTGCTGCCCCCAGCACCAGCCTGCAGATGCACTAACAGAATTTCCTCTCCAGGACATGAACTCCAAGGCTGCTAATGCATGTCATGGTACATCCATGGGGATGGTACAGGGAAAAAAAAAAAAAATCAAGCCCAGAAGAGTGTTTTCCAATCCAATCTTAACTTCTGTGATTACCCAAAACCAGTCTCATGTCTACACTATGCGTTGTGATTTGGGAAAAAATGATCTAAAACAATTTTAGTGCTTTACCCGCCTGTTACAAGCATGATTAGGAAAACATCTCTTACTGGTTCAATGAATCCCATGAATCCCATAACTAAATGTGGTGGGGCTTCTGCATGTATAGTGGACTACAGACTTGTTTAGCAAGGCTGAAGCTGGGGGGTAGATGGGGAGACTCTCATGGGTGCAGTGGGGAGCAGGAAAAGATCATGAAAAAGCTTTGCTTCCACTGCTGTGCTTTCTGCCATCCTGCAGGCTAAGACACCCTAGAAACTGCCTCAACTCATGCCACTCCTACCCCATGCATACAAGCAGTGTCCCATCCCGCTCCTTCAAGTCCTACACAGGGCATGTGAATACCTTTCTGGTGTTGTCTGCATCGGACGCGCTGTCTTTACAGGTCCTGTTATCATCTGCAGGAAACACAGCTGCCTGTTCTGCTCCATGATCATCTTCCTCTTCCAACTCATCAGAGTCCTCCTCTTCAGAGTCTACATCTATGCTTTCCCCGTTGATGTGAGGGCTGCCATCACCCAGGTCCTTTTCACTCTGAAAGTTGTTCAACCACAAAGTCAACATCAACTCATAAGACAGAGCAGCTGAATCCATCTCAGACCGCCCCGGTGCTAGAAGCCTTAAAGCTGCCAGGGGTTGGCTATATGTCCCGCCAGAGCTCTCCAATGCTGTCAGCAAAGCCAGCCTGAGAGCCCGCCATGTGTCACCTAACCCTGTTGACCTGGGGAATGAGGAGCCATGAGGAGTCATTCCAGACTCATGGCTGTACAAGACATTAAGGGGAGGAGGGCCACTGGGCAGGAGCCTTCAGACAGAGCCCTGCAGTCTGATTCAAACATGGAAGGGCAGCTCCACCATGGCATAGCAATGATGCAAGAAGGTTTCTAGGGAATGGAAAGGGAAGTTAAATTAGAGAGAGGGATTTTCACTCCACTCCATGAAAGCTTAGCACTGTTTTCCTTGAATTCAAAGGCCAAAACTTCAGGGCATGGGTTGCAGCAAAAGCGGAATTTCACTAGAAGGGAGTCCCCGTCTAAAGCTTCTTTAAGTAACCGGTTGTTCTGCCGCACAGCCTCAAGCAGCAACACCAGACAGTCACCTTGAGGACTCTGAAACAAAAAGGTTACCACATGGGCTACACTTGTAATCTCTCCAGTTCCACAGGACTCATGGGACAGAAGGGGAACATTCACTGGAAAATGCATAAGATTTGGTATCTGAACAGCCACCCTCAAAGAGCCATTTTCAAAGCAGCAAGGCTGCTATGGGCAGGACACTCTCACCAGAGAGAAAATGTAGACTCAGAATGGAAGGTGCTGACGGTAACAAGCCAGCACGTTCCTGCGCCTATACACGGGGTTGGTGTGCCGGGAAAAGGGATGTGTATGGTGACAACAAACACGTCCAGTGGACTCAGTGCTCCCCTCACCTTGGCACCCGCAGAGGAATGAGTTATGCTCTTAAACATCTCAATCATTGTTCTCTGTTTTAACACTTTGGTCTTTTTCTTGGGAACCAGGCTATAGGTTCCCATTCTCCGTTTTTTCTTCCGAGATACTGCAGCAGCTGGAAAAGAGAAACAAAAGAAACCCAAAGTTTGTTCCAGAATGAAAAGAAGAAGGGGTAGAGAGTAGAGGCTGTACTGGGGGAAACCACATTTGAGGGCACGATCTGAGAAAAAGGCTTCACACTCCAACTAATTTATTTACAAGTCAACCAAAAGATGACACACACGTACATACAAACACACAAAGAGCTTTCTGCCAATGCTGCAAACCTACCCAAATTCTGAGTATCCTCTTCACATTCCTTCTGGCCTCTACATCATCATATACAGAATCAAATCCTTAAATTAGCCTGCATTTGGCACTACTGCTGCTACTATAGGAGGCTGAATAGAAACCAACTTCCTCAAATAGAAACTGCAAGGCCAATAACACCAACTTACAATGAAAGCAATCACACAATAACTGAAGAACACATAGGGAAAAGGTACCTTAAATAAAGAGCCATTTGCCATTTAACCTCATTTCACACCTACTATGGAAGTTTGTTTGATTCCTTTCACTACTTTGATTGGGTCTTAATTTGTTAAGTCTCCCTCCTGGCCTTCTAATCAAATCAGTCATCACACCTCACTGCCTGATGCTGTCTTTGGTGAATACACATCAGAAGGATGCTCAGTGCAGGCTCTTTTAAGAACAGCTTACAGCAGGGAAGAACCAGCTTCAGCACCAGCATTATTATCTGCAGCTGTACAGCTTGTTCCTTGAAAGCATTTCCTCATCTCCCACTACGATGACATTTCACCAAAAATCTATGAAAAGACCTCTCCAAAAACCCGTTATCCCAATTAAATTTATTTACAAGGATGTAGTTTATGGTAACCAGTTACGGTGACATACAAAGTCCCTCACAATTGATAGAAACATCTTCAGAATATCCCATAGGAAGATGGGATGACAGCATCTCCTCTAGTAACAAGTTTTAGCAGAAGAGTGATCCTTGGTGTGGTGGTGCCTGACTGAGCACGCCTACTTGCCCATGCCGCCTGGAAGGACCTGCACCCCATGAAACAAGGCGGCACAGGAAGGACTGCACGGCAGCTGCTATCTGCAGACCAGAGAACTGGTAGACTTCACTTGGGAGGCTACTTTAACAGGCGACCACAAGTATGTACCCTCTACAACATCCACAGGTGACCAGAAGGGAGTGGAGAGGACACAAGCATCACGCTTGCAGTGCAGTGGCCACTTGCAGAGAAGTGGGCAGATGAAACAGCATCTGTCAAACAAGGTCTACAGCAGCAGCCCTGCTGACGCCGCCAGCAACAGAATCCCTGAAGGCGATTCAGTGGGCAAAAGGTACTAACAGAGGTTTCAGTCCTTGTTAACCTGCCTCATCTCCCACTCAACCACATACACACACATCTGGGAGGTGGATGCTGTTTGGAATTTCAACTTTGCCCTTTTTACCCGTCTGCGACTTCGTGGTGGCCACATAGCTCTGGTTCTGAGGTAGTGACTGGTGAAGGCCCGGGAGAGAGGGCAACGGCAACGGCTTCCCAAACTCCAGGACGTTTTTGTTGCCTTCCTCCTTGGATTCTTTATGATCTCTGCTGTCTCTCCCATCTTTGGGGTCTTTACTTGCATGCTGGAAAACAAAACGCAGTTAAATTGAGCCTCCGCATTCAAAAGGGGGGAAAAAAAAAATAATCAAGAAACTAAATATAATTTCTTTCTCCCAAGCACAGTCACCTTCATTTGAAGATAGGACCACACACTCAAAGCAAAAGCACACAGCCCCTCCTCTAGCACATAGTGTTACTTTGCCTAAAGACTGCAAAACACCCCCAGCCTGCTGCTCCTCCACTTGTTGGAGGCTGTTGCCTTTGAGGGTGAAATGCTGCCTCGCGCAGGCAGAGACGGCAGATCCAAAGCAACTGCAGATAACGAAGAGGATCAGACACTATTGACACAGGTATTTGGTCGGCTCTGGAGAAGATGAACGAATGCAGCAAATACACCTATTCCCTGAAACACGCCCCGAGTGCGGCTGTCACATCAAGCGTGCCCGAGAACAGTCTTGCAGAGTCGCTTCTGAAGAGCAGCAGCAACGGGAAGGGATCCTTCCTTTCGGACAGCATTAGGCACAATCGCGTCTTATCCCACCTCTAGCGTAGCACACACCAAAAGAAGGGCAAAGAACGCTGCAGGTTCATCTACAGTGCTGCCGCTGTCGCAGCAAAGACCTGCCCAAGCGTCCTTTAAACCAGCCAGCGCAGGTATTCCCGATCTCACTGTTGCAACACCAAACACGGGGCAGGCTACGAGCTCCTACTGAAAACCAGGAGAATTTTGTAGTTGCTACTGCACTCCCTGTCGCTGGAGCCAGGCTCCCAGGCACCAAAGCAGCTTCCACCCTCTCTGATCCAGGCTTGTAGTCAATGCCAAGTCTCATTCAGCACCTTTGGTCGTGAAAACTGGGTCCTGACAGCCCCACGTCCCACAGCACTGCACCTTCTGCAGCAATCACTGTATTAACAGAGGGGGGTAAACGCTGCTGCTCTGATTTGACATTTTACACCAGATTTGCCCTCTTACGTATCTAACCTAGCTGCATCCACACTTCTCCATACATCTGTCCACTCAACTGTCAAACAGGAGGCAGGTTTGGCAGAGGTGCTCCACAAAACCAAGAGCACAGTTAGCAGGTTACAAGCTCTGCGGTGGCAATGTTTTAGCGCTGCTCCGTTTGCAGGAAAATACTTCTTATGGGACTTCTGAAGCAACAGCTGAAATACCGAAATAGAGAGAGGAATCCGGGCAAAAGAAAGGAAGGAATAAAATGCAGCAAGCAATAAAAACACTCTTTAAAGTCCAGGTTCAGATAGGCACTCTTAGACATTGCTTTCAAGTAATGTGACCTTGTGAACAAATGGGGAAGCGACTGATCCTCCCAATTATGGCTCTGCCATGTGCACACTGCTGGCAGAAAGCGAGGACTCGGTCACAGAGAGAGAAGCTGTAATGATAATCAAAAATGACCTGCATAAAAAGGCCATCGAATTGCCAATGATTCCTGCATCAAGCCCATAACTTATGGCTGAATTGCCACATCTTTTCTTAAAAGGCATCTAGTCTTGGATTAATGATTTCAAAGACGACAAATCTACCATATCCTTTGATATGCTTTTCCAATGCTTAATTGCTCTCACTGTCAAATAATTAAATGCATTATGCTTTTTCAACTAAATTTAAAAGCCCTGTATCATCAGAAACTCTCACTCCAAGTAGACACTTATGGACTATGATCAACTTTCTTTTTTTTTAATTTTCTCTTCAATAAGTTTAATAGAATGAGCAAATTAAGTGTCCACAGGATCCTTTTCTAGACATTGGATCACTGCTGATACTGCTCCCAGTTGTTCTACCCCAAAATGTACGTCAGCAGTGCTGGGCACAGCATGCCAATTATAGTCTCAACAATACTATTTATACCTCTTTAAAGTTGCTAGTTTATAGATCGAAAGGTTAACGGTAACTCTTGACTACGGGATTATTCTGAGAATTCCCAAGTCCACTGCTTCCTTTTTTAACTTAAAATTAGAAAAATGAGCTTGGGAGAGGCAGGGCTGACACAGAGCTGCCTGCAACAAGTGTACATAAGGGCTTCACTTTCTGTCTTTTAAGTGCAGGTTCTCTGACTGTCCTTTAAATGCAACTGGTCTCTGATAAAATGTGCTGTTACTCCCAAACATCAAGAATTCACATTCAGACCATGCCACACAGTTTGGAAGAACATAATCAAATTTTAAATGAAAGTAGTATGTTATTAGCTTGGGGTTTTTCTCTCCCCCTGTAATTACAATATGGAAATAAATTAACAATCTTCAACAGGGCTGCATGACAACTGTTAAATGTGACTTTTTCATGGCAATTCCAGTAAAACGTTTTTTTAAATCAAATTAAGCCTTGTGAGATCTGGATTATTACTTGGAGGCATATACAGCAACGCTAACGAACAAGAATTCCTGCAGAGAGGTGACCAGATCTGTCAGGAAGCATGATGGCATGGGAAGCTGAGCAGGCCAGCAGCGTAACACCTCTATCTCTCATACATGTGTATATATATAAAAAACATACTAAATCTAAGGATTGTAATAAAAAGGATCAGCAAAGATTTGAAAGCACTTATACTCAGTTTTCTCACCATCCTTCTTCATTCTTAACTAGATAAAACAGTTGTATCTTTGCTGTTCTTATTAAATTTTACTCTTCCAGCAAGTGGATGAAACTTTATTCTTTTCCCATTTCTACTGTCTCCGAATTCTGCCAGTTCCTTAACTCGAGCCTGTAGGTACAGCCCATCCCGGTCTCCTGCTCTGAGCTTTTATGCTCTGTCTGCTCCAAATTTAAACAGTCCCAGAAAAGAGGCTTTGCTAAGCCAGCACGCTGCTCTGCTGGGAAATTTCTTCTTCCTTCAAATCCCATCACACTCGCCAAGAGCTGGTGCAGCCATACCTGAGCCCTTCCTTGCAAAGATATTCTGCATCCTTTGCTGCCCAAGGTACAACCGGCTCGTGACACCTCTCAGCAGAGGATGGTGGGCAGATTCAAATAAAAGAAGCAAAGGCAAAAGGTTTGGGAGTGGGGGGAGTGGGTGCTAGACCATTCTGGGGCGCAACAGACTCCTATCAAAGCACAACAGAAACAAAAATTTACAGTGATCCATTTAAACACAAAGCTCACAGATCCACCTGCAAGGCCCCGGTACCATCAGAGGGCTTCTCAAAACACTGCACGTCCACTTAGCTCCAACGAGGAGTTTCCTGCTGGGGAAAAGGCTGTCCGAGGAAAACTGCAGAGCAAGGCTTCTCCTGCAGAGCAGGCAGGGCAGCTGCCTCCAGCCCTGCCACCCCATGCCCCAGCCTGGGGCCAGTAGGACCCAGCTCCAAGTCACCTCTGTGGGCACCGTTCACAGCAATGAGCGCTCCTCTCACGTGCCACCTTCTTCCAGTTTCATGATGGGTGGGTTCCCCCTGCCCTCCCTGTTCCCAGCGCGAAGCACAGCACCAAGCAGGTATCTCGAGGAGCACTCGCAGCCCAGTATCCACCCAAGCAAACTCCTGCTGTCTGGCTTCTTACCTTCTCCCAGCAGAGGACACTCGTGCTAGCGAAGCACAAACAAAGGGGGCTGCAAACAGCAGACGCGTCAACAAACCCAACAGAGCTGATCACTAGTCAACATCTCCTCATCTGATTTGCTGTGACAAATCCCAACACATTCCTACTTCATTTCCTGAAGACTCAAAGTCCTCCCCTAAAGGTGGAAAATGCCAGACTGGCAACACTGGAGCAGAAGCGACCATGCCAGGAAAGCGGTGAATGGCTTGCGGTGATCTCTTGGGCCCGGACTGATCTGCTAAGAATACTAACGAGGGTACGCACACTTTGAGTCACTCGCATTTTTAACTAAGCAGGCTCCTATGCTCAGAAATTGGATGAAGATCATCCTCCTTCACTTAAACCAAGAAACATTCAAGAGAGCAGAGGTGCCTTCAAGTAACACCTTCATGGACTCCACTGCAAATAGCAAAATTAGAAGCAAGAAGAACTATTCCTGACCCTAAATAACTCCATTGCTGAGTGTCATCCCTGTCCAAAACAGCCGTGGCCTTTTTCTTCTTTCCTCAATCATACTTATATTCAGCAGTCCAGCACAGTTTTCATCTACAGTTTTAGATAAGTACAGTGAGGAGAACCCTGTGCAAAAGCAACTCCAGGACACAGTTCAAGCTCCCTGTGTTCACATATTGTCCTAACCACACACGTGTGGGCCACTGGAGGCCAAGAATGGACCAAAAATGTCAGAGAAAGAAAACACGTCACTAATGTCTTCATTCCTTGCAGCTTCGCATGTGGTATCAGCTCACCCTACGCAAAAGACTGAAGTCACTATTTCATGGTGAGCATTACAAGGAGTAGTCAAGAAGCTGAAGACACCTATTCCGAGGCTTAGGCTAACGTTTCCAGAGCTGCTTGTGGGGACCACAACTATGTCTGACACCATTGTGAGAAAAATAATCAAGAAAACTGCTTAGATTGGGACACGAACACAATATTTTATGTGTTTATAAAAATTAAACTCAAGTGTTTTCTAAATTTTAATGGGATTGACCACGTTTCTATTACTGGCACAGAAGTCCCCTACAGCAGCAGTTACTGAAAATGGCAAAACACAGAATATCCTCCTTTTTTTTTCCAAAAGCAAAAATGCAGAACAAACAAACCTTACTAATTAAACCCCGCATTGGTTCGACAGACTGCACAAGGCATCCTTCCCACAGCCCAGCAATTAAGAGGTCTTTCATTACCAAAGCAAGCTAGCAACAACCAAAAAGAAACCAGATCAGAACTCCATCCGTGTGTTGGTGCAAGGACACCGGCAAAGGTCCTGCAGGTCCTGTGTCGGAGCAGGGCGCTTTGAAGAGCAGTGCAGAAGGACTGCTGATTGCTCTCGAGACCTGACACCATCTCCAACGTAGACACGCAAGCTGTCTTATTTATCTTGTTTTAAGGACTTTCATCTCTGGCGTAATACAAGCTTGAAACCAAAGCCACCTAGCCAGGAGGACTAAACTAACTGCCACTGCCACCGGGCAACACAGCAGCTGTCACGGAGCAAGTCTCTTCTCTCCATCCATCCGTTGGATGCGGAGGGGTAATGAGATTTGTACCAAGGCACTGCCTTTGAACAGGACAAAGCAGCAGCTCCCAGGGGTATCTGCCTCTAACAACTGCTGAATGATATTTAAGCACAAAATATCAGCCTGCTATAAAAAATTTATCGCAAGCAGACGATAGCGCCTGTAGGAGCTGTACTGGTGCTACTCTCCCTTTCCTTCACTGCTGCAGAATTATGCTTTTCACTACTGCATGTCACCCCAGCTGCAGGGGGACCCTGACCCCTGCCTAAGCCTTACCTTGGAGCAACTAAAAGAAACCTGCAGGGCTTTGGTCTTAATCTAGATCAGATTAAGATCAGAACAGGCAAGGCTGATCCACCTATTAACACCCTTTTACCTGCAGATTAACACGTGCCCATTTAGAAGTGCGGAGACTTGATTACAATTGCACTGATTTGTGTGTGGTGACGTATCTGCGTAATATCACATGGGTTTAGGCTGTCGGGCAGACCGTGCTAAACTCGAGCTACAAACCTGCACCTAACGGGTTTCAGAACCAGCGTCGTCCAGAGGTGTGGACACTGACCCCGCTCCGCGTCCTTGTCCCCTCCTCGATCAAGCAGCTCGCGGGAAGGCAGTGTCACACATCAGCCAAAACAGGGTAGCTCAAACCAATTTCAACAGCAAGCCTACTGACAGAAATAGGTCTGCCGGGGATGTGGGACGGTTATTTTTGTGGGCTGTGGTTGGCAGCCGGGGCGGCCACCTTCAGCCAGCACAGTCGTGTCAGCAGTGCAAGCACCACCAGTCAAATGTGAAATTAGAAGTACTGCACAATATACATTCACTTTCTACCTCCCTCTAAAGTAAACCCTCCACATAAGAAGTCCAGTAGTAGTCTATGGCCTCATCGCTCCCGAAGGAGGTTTCCCATAGGGGATGTTTAACTGTGGCCAGGCTCGCACCCATGGGCTTCACGCTTTCAGTCCACCTGCGCAGGTGGGTACCCCTCTGGAGAGGGACCTCAACGGGTGCACCTTCTAGGTTCAGCCAAGCTGACAGCAGCACTTGCAATCAGATGGAGAGCTCTATTTCACTATGCCCTGTGCTCTTCTTTTTTTATTTATTTCCCCCCACACACACCAAGGAGACAATATCCCCATGGCCACCCCCTTAGGACCTGCCCTTTGGTTTGAGTTTTCTGCGTATTAGAGGTTCTGAGCCTGCCGAGCAATCCCAGACACTTGCAAACCACCAACTGCCACCTGCCTGGCCCCGAGACTTGAACACAAGACGTTCTTCGGCCAGAAGCTCCTGCAAAGCAACCCACAGACCACGTCAGCACACCGTCGCAGTACTGCTCGACACTGACATGGAAAATACTACTTTACAGCAACACCACCTGTGTGCACACAAAGGAAGCAGGTCCTAGGATGAGATATTTAGTGGCAATGCTGCTTAAAGGTCTCATTTGATGAATACTGGTAGAAACACCAACATAAGCCAAGCATCTCCTGCTCCAGGCTCCTCCTTCCTGCCCAGGCTTTGTCTCCCCCGGTTAAAATTGCTACCCTACGTTTCAGGCTCCCACTGTGAAGCAGGCTGAGATACTAATCTCTCAGATTTTTGCACTATTTCTTCTGACAGTTCAGTTCCCCTGAGCCGGTCCTCTGCATAGCATAAAAAAATACCACCAGAGACACACACCCCGAACTACAGCCTTGTGGCCACCAAGTAATGAACAGAAACATAACTTGGGATTCCCAATCCAGCCATCTGCTTCTCCTGTCTCAAGAGATAACTATGGGATGCTTTCCCCACCTTTATCATCCTTTATCTCTTCCAGACACGTCTCAGTGATGTTAAGCTCAGAAACTGAGCAGGAGGGGCCTTCTCCAAGCACAGGACACACACACACTTCCCTTTCAGCCTGTTGCCTGACTTTGTAAACTTTTGGGTTCTTAATAGGGCTGTAAACAGACTAGAAAGGAAAGAAAGATTCTTTCAAAAGGTGCAATACTTGTGTTACTGCGCTATTCGGAAGGGGAGCAGAAATGACGTTGTCAACAACTCTTCTGAGGTTTCTATTCAAAAACCACCTTAACATGCGACAACACCAATTAAAACTGTCACCTGTTTCAGATTCAGCTTCGATCCCAATTCAGGAAGCAACTCCTAAACAGAGAAAAAGCTGGTTAAATTTGTGAGAAAATTATTTTCTTCCTTTCAAAGAACAATCCACACGTGCAGGAAAAGGCTACCAAGGTCCCCTGACAGCTACTGGATTACAGAAAATAACTTTTTGGCCCCAGTGGGTTTCTGCAGGAGCCGGGGGGAACAAAGGTTTACACTTTGCAGGCAACAAAATACCTCCCTCCTTCACCCAGGCAGCACAGGTCTGCAAGAACAGTCTACCAAGAAAAACAGCAACGCTCTAAAAAGTATTAGCAAAGAAAAGTACTGTGTCCTGCAACATGAACTTCTGGGTGATTTCCACAATTTATTTCCTGGAATACAGCACCTGTTATCATGGTGGTTTTGAAGCGGAAAAGGTGTGAACACGAAGGCTGGAGCATGAAAAGTGACTGCAATGCTGTTCTGATGAGCCTCTTATAAGCAGCTCAACAAAGAAATAATTAGGACAGAAAAATGACAACTAGCAAGGACTCTGCTACTCAAAAGAAAATAGCATGTAAATTTGAAAGACAATGGGGAAAAATTAGGTAGTAATTATCAGGAATGCTGAACAAAACAGATGTTTTATTGTCTTGCAGAAACGAGATCAGATCTTGGGTTCACATTCAGATGCAGAGGCTCGAACAGAGAACATGGGAACGGCCTCTTCTTACCACCCTTCTGGAGAACTTTGTTTCTCCCCCTATTTTAAGCCCAAGGGAAATGGCCAGAGGTGCTGAGGACAGGCTACGCAGTTGCTAGAGCAGCCCGACAACTACTGCAGGCTTTGGTTTCAGAAGCCGCTGTTACTGCGTGAGCAAGTAACGATCCACAGCACCATCACAGCAGCTCACGCACAGAGCGCTGCAAGCACTCGCAAACCTTCCGCGCAGCTTTCCAGAGACAAACCTTGAAGCCCAAGGGGTTGCGTAAAAATATCCTTTTGACGTACCATAAAATATGAATGAGGAAAACACTCCCTCCTAACCTACAGTTGTCTTTTAGAAGGGAATTGCCTCTTTCAATCGCTCAGCCCCAAGGGATCTTTCCCTGTCAAATTCCACAAGGGTCTGGGGGTTTGCTCAGCCTAACGTAAGTGCGCGACAGGCTGCTGGAGGAAAGCTGCGAGGCGGTTTCAGTTGCAAAGCCTTGTTTGGGTAAGAGATGGCCTTACACAAGATTTTCATCAGGCTGCATGTATTGCATCTGGGCTTCCCCCCGCTTGCCAGCCAGAAAACACAGCAGGGGTGTGAGAGTGAGAGAATTCAAATGCAATCAGGGGAAGACAGAGGGGAAATTAGTGGTTTAGGAGAATGGTCAGGAAATCATGGCAGGCGTGGTTTCTGCCCTACTATCGAGGCACGGTGCCCACGAGGTTTGTCATCTTGATGTGTTCTTTGGACTCCCACCTGCTTCCGGAGGCACAGGTGGTGCCGCAGCCAAGGGCACCTTTCCCCATCTGGGGCTGGCCAAGTGCCACCCATTTTTTTTTCTTTTTTCCTTTCCTCTCTTCCCCTGCTCCAGACCACAGCGATTCACAGCTTTGAGAACTTCACATCATATTACTGCTGTGCTGCGACAGGTGAGTGACGTGTGATGATCACTTTGTGTTTGCTGGTCCATAACACACTGGTAGCTAACAGCAATCCAGTGCACAAACCTTTACAAAGCTGCAGCAGCTTCCCCCATATTTCTGGGGTGACTCACGTTGCCCAGCAGGGCTTGCAATCCTTCCCTCGAGCTAGGTGCTGGATACCTAAAGGCCAGTCTCTCTCCATCATTAGGCATAGCACAACGAGAGGACCTAGCTCATTGTAGCAAAATAGAAAGTGTCACAGGGCTGGAGACCAAGCGCTCGTAATGGAGATCTGCTTGTTCCAGTATCTATTCCCTATCTTTGGCAAAAAAAAAACCAACAAAAAAAACAAAAACAAAAGAACTAAACTTGGCCAACAACAAAGAAAGCCCGTTTCTGTTCACCCCATTTATATCATGAACACACCAGATGACTTCAGATCTCCTTTTGCCTCTAAAAAAAGGCAGAGCCCTGTTTTATTAAGCGATGGTAAATCCACCCCTAAGGATTCTGGAGTGAAGATTTCTGAACAAGTTGCATTACTGCAGGCAACATACAGAGAGAGAGAGTGAAAACATCATCTGGTTTACTACTATAATGATACGACAATGCAATCAAGTTGCCTAACATATCAGCTTCTTGACAGCTTCCAAGCTTAGGAGAAGCCTCAAGTTAACATGCTATGCTTAATTTCCTTTGGGTCGAACTTAGAAGAGATCTAATTTGTTTCACAAGCAGCTCTGGATTTCAGCAGACGGCTGATGAGCAATACAGCCAAGAGAGAAAGGCCATTTAGTGACTCGCGTAGATCTGTTGGAGAAGGTAATTGATCAATTATATATTTAGAGACACATTGGGGAAGAGAGCTGATGGTGGCCATGTGACTCTGTTTTAACACCTCTGTCTCTCTGCAGGAAGAGAAAAAATAAAAATAAACAAAATAATTATCTTTTTTTAAAAAAATCAATCCACTCAGTGGGACGCCTCCGAATTATGCGTGTTCCCTGTGCAGCAAGGTATCCCTCTCCCGCACTCAAAGTAAGGCAAGAGCGATCGCAGCAGCAGCGGCAGTGCTGACTGCTGGGCATATACATTACCAGGCTAGGGGTGGGTTTAGGCATTGTCTTCCGTGCTCTGTGGACCTTGACTTCAGCGTTAGCAGCAGTGGCTTTTTTAGCATCCATGTCCTTACTGCCCTCTCCGAGCTTGGCTGGCATCGTGGCTTGCATCTGAGAAAAGGAGCCCACAGTTCTCCCTTTGCTTGCTCCTCCTGGAAGGGTTTTTGCAGCATGGCCGGTGAGAGAAGCAAAGGTGCTGGTAGTCCTTAGAGGTTGCTCCTGTGCCATCTGCTTGGTTAGAATATATCCATTGCTCCCTGTTACAGAAGTCTGTGTGAAGTCATTAGCTTTCATATGGTTTTGCTTCCCAGTCTCGCCATCTCGTTCAGAAATGCCATTTTCTGCTATCCTATTTAATTTAGTACTAGAGTCCTGCTGGCTCACTTTCGTATTGTCCTGAGTGTTTTTAGCTGGGTTTGGGTGGCTACCAGCTTCGCTGTGCTCACAGGAACCGTTGGTTTCACCATCTACTGCCATTTTTGGTTCCCCCGCTTGCTTTTCTGCAGCACTTTCATCCGCAGCCATGGCATTAAACCCTGGAGAAGAGGAGAATAAGGAGGAAGAGAGGAGAAAGAAAAGTGTCACAAGTGGTAGCAAAACTTTAAAGAGAAGGCACAGCTACTTAGTGGCTAATGATAAGCACACCTCTCCCCCTGAAAACTGCTTGCTATATATGTAAACATCCGTTTAGGCTGCTCACTCACCTACCTGACCGGCTTGCCTGGATCCTCAGATGGTGGAAACTGGGGTGGGCGGCTCAGTTGAAAGCAGTGCACTCATTCTCACTTGCCTCAGCTGCAGATGTGGCCATTTACTCCCAATTATGGACTTTTCAAGGTAAATATTATCTTTAGCTCTTCCAATAACTACATTTATTGGCCCATACGTCAACACTTCGCATGTCAAACAAAACACTGCCCAATCTTGCATTGAGATCTCTGGCAAAGCCCTTCACAATGCCAGACTGACACAAGAAAAGCTTGCTGGTAGGGCTGTATGAGTGAGCTTTGGTGGCGCTGACACAGCTCAGCAACCAAATGTCTACATCAGAGCTTTGCTGCTACAAGAAACATCTCAAGGAGTAACTCCCTGGTAATCACAGCTCTCCTGGAAACGTCATCCAGGAGAGAGTGGCTCCTACACTGCAATGAAGCAGCACAGGAGCAGCATTCACGGTGTCATTTCAGAGGCAACAGCCAGAGCAAACACAGGGGTGAAGCACGTTAAATGCAATTTTAGACTAAAATAATTACATGATTCAAACACAGCAAGATTTTTGCAGCCTGACTAAGAGCTCACGCACAGTTAAAACAGGAGTATGCATGCTAAGATTTTTTTTTCCTCCCTTCCATACATTTCCACGCTCCCCCCATCAATGAATTTATCCCATCAATTAATTTGTCCCATCAGTGATTTCAGACCCAAGCTGAAAAAATCCATGTTATGAATGCCGTGTACCTGCAGAAAGGTTTCTGACATGACAAACTAGCAGCTCCCCAGGCAACCAGGAGTGATAACAATTCACTGGCACGTTCAGTAAAACGATTAAATCAACCTGCTGTTATGGATTCCTTGTATTGTTTTCCGTCCAGAGGCCAGACAGTTATGAAACACATCACAAGAAGTACCAGCAAAAGCTTTGCCCAAGTGGGCTGTCAAAGCAGGTAGGACCAATTTACAGCCCGCGCGAACCAAAGCGATTTTTGCCTACAGTATTCAGAAGGGCCCAGAGTCAAACCAGAGGACAACTTTGGAAGGCAGACCAGCACACTGGTCTCGTTTCACGCTGCTCTTGAAGCCCAAACACTCAAGGAAAGGATATTTCGAATGTCTCTGCTGGCCTGGTAAAAACCTGATGCAAAGCTAAAGCTTGAAGAGGAACCAAGACCCTGGATCCCAGGTCACCGAGTCCAATAGACCTGGGCTGATCGCTCAAAGCCCAGCTCTGCAGGGCTTCGCTGCATGCCCCCAAGCACAGGCAGCTCAGTACAAACATGAGCAGAGAGGAGAAGCAGCGCTGCACAGCTCACCGAACAGCTCTTCCCAAAAAGCACCCAATGCCCTTTGCAGTTAGTGGCAATTGGGAAAAAAAAAAATCTCTCCCCAACTATTTGAGGCCCCTTCCCACCCTTCTACCCCCGCCTTCTTTCTACCCCTTTTTAATGCATTCATTCCGTCCCTCTCCTCACCATTGGGTTGACGTAAAAGTTTTTGATACAGGTTTCTGCACAAACAGCCCTTGCAGATCTAGACTCTACAAGCAATGTATTCTAACACCTGAAACAACCGTATTATTCCCCAAACTTCCTGGTTTTTAGTGCTCATCTGAGATTTAAAGACAAACGTTTCCAGCATCAAAATGAAAGCCGTTCTAGAACTGGTGAATACACTTAGAACATCCAACTTCTGGCTCAGAATTCAACCTCTTGACTTGAAGCATGGTCAACGCTGAATTCAAACCCGGCTGGCCAGGGCTCTGCCCAGGTGGGACCGCAGCCTCGTCCTACCCATAAATTACAAGGGGGGCAGTCCGAGTCCTGCTCCATACTTCCAGCTGAAAGCCACAGATGTTGGGCATAAGCATCTTACTGCAAAGTGCCTTCAAACCCTGATGATGAGTGGGAACTCCTCCCTGGGGTTCAACTCTGGCCATTTTTCCTGATAAGACATCTGCACTAAGTGGTCCATTCCCCCCAAACCCAGGCCGCTCAGCCTGCGACTGCCTCCCACATGGACTCTGCTGGCTCAGAGCCTCCAAAAAGCACTCCAGAACCTCCCGAAAGAGCTCACCGGTGCGTGCTGGAGCACACGCAGGGGGGCAGAGGCAGAAACCCCACCTCCAGTAGGCAGTAACTGAGCAGCTCTCCAAACACTATTCTAAGTTATCACCTCCATCTGCTGCCCTCTCACGCCACTCAGACCACCTCCTGTGTACTGAAAGCGCTGATAAGAAACACAAAGGTTTGTTTTGGATAGCAACAACTCTGGGAGAAGGTAAAGCGCTAGTTTTTTTTTCACCGTTAACTATTTGAAAAGTCTTAGGCAGAGGGAGACAACAGCTATGCCCTTATTCTTTCAAATCCTTGTTTCTCTTCCTGCATCTGGTGTCTTTAAAAGACTGTGCTGTGGCCATTTAAACAATTATTTCAGCAAAGTCAGCGCCAGAAGAAAACAAAAAATGAGCTCCCTAACCACAGATGGCGGTTTCTAGTGCTCAGCACTAAGCACCTGGCCAAACGAAGCCTTCAATATTTGTTGATTTAAATACTGCGCACTCCCACCAGAACAGTCAAATAACTTCAGTGGCTGACTATTAGATAAACTGAATAAGCAGAGGGCAAGAATTGCTCTACCTGCCACGAAGGCAGCCAAAACAAGGTAAATCAGAGCACTGCCCTGGGGGAAAGAATAACTGCGTTAGTCCAGAAAGCGTCATGGACTTTATGAAAAATCCATGAGGCTAAAATTAAAATCCCACATACAGTTTCCCCCCCACACATACTCTTATTAAGTGTGCAAAATGCAGCATGATTGACTGTGGAAGTGCCATCAATCCCCTATAAACAGGCACCAGACTTCCAAATCTCTATGACTAGAGATTTGACAAAACAAAAATACGAAATTTCATAGTCCCAGAAGTTGCACAGAACTGGAGAACTTGACAGCAGCCGTCAGGGGTATGGTTTTGATTTAAGAGGATTATGCACCCGCTCTGCCCTGCTGTAAACGACTGCAGACGTTGCAGGGCAAAGCTTCCAGCTCCGGCCCCAACCACCAGCGCTGCCACCGCTCAGCAGACCCGGAGTCACCATTCGGTGCCTAACGGATACGCATCCCACACGATAAAAGCTGTTAGGGCAACCGGCATCACACGGCTCGCTGGCTGGCAAGAGTCAGCAGAGGCCGAGGACTGGATGAGAGGAGAGACTACCTCCCTTCTGCCTCCGACAGGTCTGAGACACCGCGGGCAAGGCTCTCCTGAGCTGCGAGGAAAGGCTTCTTTGGGGAAAAAATCATCTCCATCCTCCTGCTCCCTTTCCTGGCAGCACTAAAACAAATTCATAAATGCTTTAGAACAGCACAGTTTTCTACAAACTGAGTTTCTGTACAGCACAGGGCTCCTGCGAGAAGCACCACAGCCAACCCACCCACCGCAGGAGCTCCTCATCCCAGGGTCCTACCTGAACATCGAATTAGAGATCCCCATGAAGGACTAGTTTCTGTCAGGAGCTACATTGCTCGATGAGATGCGGGAACCCAAGTAAGCGAGTCTGGCTTTCACAACCTGGTCTGGCAATAGGAAAACAGGAGTTGCCATCCCAAGGCTAGGCTACCGCTCCGCTCGTCACGATGCTCTGCCTCCAACTCGGTGTTCCATCCTCGCTTAACAGAACACGTCTGCAAGTCTGACCACGTTCAACAAGCCTTAGGTACGCTAAGTGCACATTTACAAGCATTGCTGAATAGACACAATTCAGTATGTATTTACACTTTTGCTGAACCATGGCCTATAGATGGGGATGGGAACAGAAACTAGAGAGAGCAGGAACCTCACAATGGAGAAATACTGACTAAAACAGCCTACAGAAGCTCTTCAACACCCCTGGACAGCTAAAGAAACACTTGCTCCTGACACAACCTTTTCATCTCCCCTTTTCCATTATTAAAAAAAGAGTTTCACGGCAAACCTGCTAAAATCTTGATTTCAAATACACCTTGTGGCAACGAGTTCTCTTCTTGAAAATGCTGTTCAACAGTTTTTCTGCTCTTGTTAACTGCAAGTGAATAAAAACCTAAAATCGGTATTTCTGTAAAACTTTACAACTTGACAGTATTCATTCCTTCTAAATAGAGCAAAACTATGTTTCCTCCGTATTCATTTTTCTCTCCAAGTCCCTCATTATTCCTTAATCTACAACCATTCTTTAATCTAAAAAAAAAAAAAAAAAAAGGAAGAAAGATATAGCCTACGTCCATGGAAGTGTAACCTCATTTACTAGAAGGATCCTACTCTTTTCAGAGTTCCCTTACGCATCCCCTACACCATATGCAGCAGTAAAAGCTCATCACATTGACCACAACACTGCCTGCATCCCGATCCAAGCATTTGCTATTAATTTAAAATCCAGTATCGTGTAGGACAGATAACTTGCCCAAGAGATTTATTTTCTGTTATGGTATTCTTTCTCCCCGGTAGGTATCCGAAGTTGATACCAAGTTGAAAGAAACTTCAGTAAAGGTGTATCTTCTAGGAGCCGGCTACATTTCAGTAAGGAATTTAAGACTCAGAAAATTATGCAGATACATTATCTCTACTACTCCACATGCCAAAGAATAACCAGTAATGTATTTTAAATACTTGAGAATTAACAACTTGAGAGCAATGCAGAGTTCTCAGCCCTCACACCTCTCCCCAGGCTCGAGCAGACCCTCTGCAGAAGTTTCAGTCTAGAGTCTTCCTCTCAATATCAAACACCGTCATTCAAAACGGAATTAAAATTCTGCCATGAAGAGAACAGAATCTTAGGGAAGGAGG